TGGTCCTCCTTTAGCCTCAAAGACAGCTTTAATACGTCTAGGAATGGAATCATACAGCGTCCTGACTTCATACAGAGGAATTTTCAGCCATTCTTCCATTAAAACCTTCTCCAGCTCTTTACGACACGACGGTGAAGGATAATGGCTCCTAACTTGTTGCTCCAAAATGCACCACAAATGTTCAATAATATTGATATCTTGAGATTGGGGAGGCCACTCCATGTGTTCTAGCTCACTTTTATGCTCTTCATACCAATTCTTAACCACTCGAGCGGTATGTATTGGAGCATTATCGTCTTGGAAGATGCAGTCACCATCAGTGAATAAAGTCTGGGCCATTGGATGAGCATGATCTCCCAAAATGTTCAGGTAATCTTTGCTGCTGATTCTACCATGCAAGACAACTATTGGACCGAGACATTTCCATGATTTGGCGGCCCAAACTATCACTGATCCACCTCGATGCTTCCCTGTTGGAAGAAGGCAGTCAAGGTTGTAAGAATGAGCATTCACTCAAATAGCATTTATACTAATACGAAATAAATGATAAATATATACATAAGCAAGGCAGTAAAGCCCCTAAGACACAAGGGGTTACTAGATGTGGCAGAATTCGAAACAGAAACGTTACTAATGAGCGTGAACAAAATCAAAGAGCTCTAGACAAGTAACAGGAACACCGCACCATATGTGGCAGCAATATTCTAAGCATAGATGAATTATATATTAGCGTAGGTGGGTGTTTATATATATATATATATATATATATATATATATATATATATATTTATATAGTTGATCTGTTAATTGTTACTTGCAAACTAGATTCTCCATCTTTCTTTCTTTTTAATCAGTATCACTCCATGTAAGGCAATAAAGCCACTAAGGCACAAGCGGGTTAAAGGTTGTGTAAGAATTAGAAACGGAATTATTACTATTAAGTGGAGGAAAAAATAGTAACCCAGAGAACAGTAGAGAGCGATTGACATTACATTTAAATTTTTTAAGATTAAAGTTGGCTGAAAAGCATGGAGCAGGAAGGGAGTTCCACAAGAGAGAGGTGCGAGAAAAGAAACTGTTACCATAAAATTTAAATTAAAGACTTTTTGAATTTAAGGGTAGTACTCGACTGGCGTCAAGATCACATCAATTTACAGTTGAGTTGGCGCTTAAATCCAATAAGGCTAGGTACCGTAGAGGAAAGTTCATCTGAACAATTACCATGAAAGTATTTATAGAAAAGGCACAGGGAGGCAACCTTACATCGAGGGGAAAGTGTCTGGAGCTGAGATGCCAAATCAGAACCAATTATATTGCTGACTCTTCTTTGGATTTTATCAAAAGAAAACAAAACAAAAAAACAAAAACAAATGAAAACTACAGACAAAAGTTCATTTTCTCCATCAAGACATTCATTTCTGTAGTTCACTGCTACCAGCAAGCAGAAAATTATTTTTCTCCTGATGATGGCCATGTTGGCCGAAACTCGTCGAGGAATCTAAATGATTCTAAATCTAGGTAAATATCAGGAACACCACACCATATGTGGCATCAATATACTAAGCATGGACGAATAGTAGACTTATAGATTGATTCATCTATCTATATGTTTGCAAAATAAGTATGTACCTATTTTGGTGTTAGGTAAATAAACGCGTAAGTATTTTTTGAGTTGGCCAATTTTAGCGCAAAATCACAATGGAAAATTTGACATTAAGATCTAAAGACACGCTGAAATATGAAATGATGCCTTCTAAAAGCTAAGAAAAGTATTATGAAACAGGATAAGTTTATTAGAAAAAAGCAAATAGAATACTATGAACATGTGATCAAAGGGTAAGTTTTCAAGGAAATAGGGAAAAGGACACTTGTACTTATAAAGTGACAGCCAAAACTTCGTGGACACGTAAAGAAAGAGGGCTTGGAGAATTCGATACTCTCAAGACATGTTGAATGTAAGAGGGAAAGGGGGTAACATCGAGTAACCTATCTAAAGAGATCAAACATTTATTTAAACTCGCCACACTGCTAGCAACATATTCTCACGGACTAATCGAATAGTGTATTGATCTAAATCCCCATTGAGCGCGCTATTGCAAATATCTTGTGCCAGACAAAGCTATGCGAAAGATACCAATATTTGTTCTGTGTCCGTTAATTTTGCGAATGTTCATCATCAATCGATCAATCTTTGATATATCAATTCATGTTACTAGCGAATAGCCACCTTGTTGGCGATCAGGATAGATCGGATATACAGCGTACTGATTCTCTTGGGTAATTATGTATTCCTCTCCAGATCGAGAAGTAAACACGTGCGTCAGTTATTTCCCAATATAAATTCAATCCTCTAAGGAGAATTGAATTCTAGAACGTGGAACTGAATTGAACCTCGGCGAAGAAACTTACTGTTCGCATTCTTTCTTTTATGGTCAACCACCGTGGCTCATCAAAAACACAATTTAATATTTTATGACTGCGACAAATTCGAAACGTGGCAAGGTTACCACCGTTTCGGTTGCAATTACCGAGAGAGTTTTTGTTTTTTTTCCAGATTCATGTCACAAAGAGGAGAGAGAAAACATCTTTGTGTTCATATTCTTAAAACAGTTAGTTTTTCGTTTTGAAAAAAAAAAAATGAAATTGAAATTCCGTTAGCAGACATAACTTTCATGAATAAAAAAAGATATGGCAGACAAATAATTTTCTGAATGTAATTTCAGTTGAGTTTATTTGCTGTTGGTAGGATGTGTCGGAGTTAACTCTTCCTTAATTGTCCAAATTGTTCACTAGGGGCGCTCTCCCTACACTGTAAATACTGGGCGATTTCTTGCCTCATTCTCTTTTTACTTTGCCTCTCAGCGGGAACATTTACAAAATGTGATCTCTCGCAGAGATTTGCGTTTTGCCCACTTGTGGGAAAACGCCATGAAACACACATACACGTACGTACGAACATTCACCAAAATACAAACTCTTTACGTTCACACACAAACACAAATGTTAATGTCTATGTCCATTGTAAATTTTGTTGTTTAATACATATATTTGTTGATATACATACATATATATATATATATATATATATATATATATATATATATATATCGGTCTTGTTGGTTTTCTTTACACTTCTTTATGATGGATTCAATCTCTGAGTCCGCCATGTTCTTATAGTGGACCTTCTTCTAGCAGGAATAAACGCACGTGTTCCTAATTTAACAACACGTAAACCACACGGTCCGCTACAGATGTAACCCAGTATAATCTGGCGTTATTACTGGAAGAGAAAATGATCACCACAAAGTGACCCCCATTACCTTGAGGAAGGGAAATTAATTAATAAGACATTCCACTGATCTAATGGGACAGGAGAAAAGTTCGTTCGTTTGTTAAAAGTAATTCCTGTGTTTTTTACAGGAATTATTTGAATCTGACATTAAAATCTAAAGACCCGCTGAAATAGGAAATGATGCCTTCCAAAAGCTAAGAAAAGTATTAAGAAACAGGATAATTCTGTTAGAAAAAAACAAAAACAAAGAGAATACCATGAACATGCGAGCAAAGAGTAAATTTTTCAGGGAAAAGGACATTTCTACTTTTCCCCAACAGCCGAAACTTCGAGGACACGTAAAAAAAGAGGGCTTGGAGAATTTGATACTCTCAAGACATGTTGAATGCAAAAGAGGACAACATCTAGTAACCTACCTAAAGAACTTATGTAAACAGAAAATAATCTTTTTTTTTACACTGTACAAGTCCTGAGTGTCACTCAAGGTAGATGGTTTCGTTAGAAGTCTGTTTATACGGATAAGAGGGAAAGGAAACGGTTAACCCTAGATTTGAACAGGTCAAGATTATAGTGATCGGGGAAACGTCCGCTTGGGAGTCGGTTACACAGAGCAGTGGTTCTCGGGAAGAGGCTGTTTGAGTGGAATACGATGGAATACGGAGAGAATGTAGGCGATTTGCTACAATGTAAGTGGCATGCCGGGACCTTATCGTGAAGGTTAAGCCTGGCAGAACCTAGGAATGTAGTTCGTTCGAGCAGAGAGAGAGTTTGAAGAGTTAAAATAATTCGACACTTTTGAACTCTGTCGAGACTGGAAAGTGTTGTCTGGGCATCTTCCGCTCAAATATGACAACAGTACTCCATTCTTGGACTGAACTGAATTTGAATTTAATAATGACTGGAGAAAGATTTTTTCTGCCATTTGAACTGTTTTAAAGAAAGATTGGACTCGTGCTTTGTTACAATTTTTGGATACATTATGTAACTAGTGAGCTAGCCCAAATGATTTGAATCACTTTATAGTCCACCAATAGAAGGTTAACCAATCAGAAGACGTAGAACATTCAATTCGTCGTGTATAAAGACGGCCATTTTGTTTACTCTACCCGAATGTCCAGTTTCAGCTTGTCAGGCGAAGAGAAACAGAAGGACGAACTACGCTCTGCTACTTTTATCAAAATATCCACTGCTAACCTGAACAACGCTTTCCTACTGTCTTCGAAATATTCACTGCTAACCTCTGGATTCTATACTCAAAGACGACCGTCATCATGAACAACATGCTTATCATAAGCGCATAAGTATTAAAATGATATAAAAATTATAGAAAAAAATAGAATTTATTTTGAGAATTTTCATAAAACGCAAGCAAACAAAAATTATCTGTGCGAATGCGCGCGCCGGTAATGCTTCTCAGACAAGATAATATATATGGAATCGGCTAGGAATCGGAAAGAATTTATTATAAAAATCCAAATTTAAATGCAAAATTTGTTACTTTTAAAGATATTTTAAAATAGTAACTAAATATATTTCTGTTTTATTTTGTCTTATTTTTTTTAATCTTTAATGCGTTTGACGTTTTTATAGATAAAATAAATCTAAAATTGGCAATGGTGAAGGTGTGAAATTTTTCACTGGCTGAGAAGAGAAATTTCCTTTCGCCAACATGATCGCTTGTCTACATAAAAATTGATTCTGCTATCTCGTTGAAACACCAGTTCACGTAAAATCAACGAAGTTAAGCAACGTTGAGTCTGGTCAGTATCTAGATGAGTAACCGCCTGGGAATACCAGGTACCGTGAATTTACAGGTAGTGTAATGGATAATGGTTCAGAATTGTTAATCAGAGTGCCGTGTTCCAATTCCACTTACGCGGGAAAGGCATGACTCCACCTCTTCTCAAGTAAATATTAGTAAGACTTGTATCATTAAATCTTTATTATCTCCAGAAACAAACTTGTTAGAGTCTAGAAATATTTTCTGGCTTTAAATAACTTGTAAAGGGTTGATAAACCGTAGAAAACGAATCAATAACGTGGGTGAATGGCATTCTCGGAAAAGGATAACTTTGAATTTAAAACCATAAAAAAAGGTATCAGGAAAGTCCCTCATTATCCATGAAGTCAGAGCAGTTTACAGATAATAATAAATAAAAAGTAGCTTGTGGAGAGCCATGATCGCTTACTGTTGTAGCATACCTACGGATGATAATGGGTATGTCCCCATTAACATAAATACAGTGGTAAATACTGTATGTTGGTCTGCAGTCGGAGATTCGTCTCCAGTTCTGCTGGTCAAACTCCCTGCCTCTGGACAGAGAGCATCCCCAGACGAGGTTATGTCGAAGGGAAGAGTATCGTCTCGGGAAATACCTACCGGTCTACGAGGAATTTTTGGCTGAGCCTACGAGCTCGGATACATTAAATTCGGCCTTGTGCCACATCTAACCGCGTGGGGCGGTTGGTAGATATCATGTAGTTGGAGATTCACTTGACTCACTTCTAGCAGTTGACTACTTCTTCTACACGCCGCTGGCGAATCTTATATGTGTTGTTCTTGTCCTAAGTATTATCGTTTATTATCAACCTCCGTGTGATTATTCAATTCAGTAACCTTACCTAGGTTACAACACTTACATACTGAAAAGATATAGCCTTTAAAAATATAAATATTTATCAATGATAGTGTTTTTTTTATCAGTTCACCCTAAGAAAGGCAATACAGCCACTAAGATACAAGGGATTACTGAGCAGGAAAGAATAAGAAAAAAAGAGAAACATTAAGTAGCGAGAATAATAAAAGAGGAATCAAGAAGATAGGAGATAACGATTGACATTGCATTAAAATTTTTTGAAGGTCAAAGTTGGATGGAAATCATAGAACTGGAAGAGAGTTTTACAAGCGAGAAGTGTGAGCAACTGCTAGCATAGAACTTACGTTTACATGTAGTCAATTCAACTGTAGAACGATGAGAACTTTGTTGCCAACATAGTACTACGCTTAAATTCATAAAGTGTAGTTACCATATAGGAAAGTTCATCCGAAAAAATTACGATAAAAAAATTTATAGAAAAGGCAGAGTGAAGTTACATTACGGCTGTTGGAAAGTGACTGAACTCGAGATGCCAGGTTACGACCAATAATATTGCAGATTCTTTAGATTCTTTGACAGAGAGAAGATGTATACTGTTTTTAACACTTCTCCGCGTCCCACATTAGGTGATGGTGGTATACTCTAACGCAAACAACACTGATAGTAAAGGAAAGCGAGAGGAAAGGACTATCTATTGTATTGTAAAAAGACAGATGGTATCTATTTGTATCTGTTGTATTGTAAAAAGACAGAACGTCTGGTCGACAGTAAAAGGGATAGCCTAAGATGTGACCTACGGATGTGAATCATCACAATCAAACAAGTACATAAATTTTACTATCTGGTATGTGTTATAATAAACGTGGCAAAATATGGCACCGAAATCCGAAGGTGAATTGGAATCGCGAAAGATGACTTTCAGAAGCTAAGCAAGGTATTAACAAACATGAAAAATTTCATCAGACATAAAGGAAAAAATTGATAAATTACTATGTAACATAACTCCTGCTATATGGTAGTGAATACTGAACAATTTCTTAACAGATGAAGACTTGAACCAACAGCGATATGCTTCTGCAGAAGGATGCTGAGAATGTACGTAGAAGTGAGCAACGATGAAATTTTAAGAAAAATGGGAGCAAAAAGGTACCTGTACTTAGAATCAGAAAGAGACAGCTGGAAGTTTTCTAGAAGGCATAATAAGGAAAGAGGGCTTGGAAAATTTGATACTCACAGGAAATTGTGGAGAGCTGTGATCACCCACGTCCTGATAGGACACGGTACGTAAAAGAAGAAGAGGTAGAGTTTTGTAGTCTGCTGCTCAAACTTGGGGAGATAACTCGTGTGGATTTATTTTTCGTTGCTTGGTAAGGATTTAACTGCCTAACACAAGAATTGAAGACAATGATTATCGAAAAATATTTTCAAAAATCAACCCAGAATATTTAAAAATATTCAGGGTTGATTTTTGAAAATATTTTGTAGCGTTACATCAAGCTGTTGGCTGTACCATAATGAAAAAGACGAAGGAATAAGGAAGACAGGAAAAACGTTATTAGACATTTTGCCTTTTTTTATCAGTAAGCCAACGTTGTTATATAGTTTATAATTTTGGGCTTGTATTTGGTAGCAAAAAGATATGGAATATTATGAGAAATTCTTTAGACCTGCGTTTTTTTTCTCGACTGCAGCCTTCGAAAAGTAATCTTTATATTCACTTTAATCAATAAATGTTCCAAAATCATCCAATTAACTTCTATTCATTTACGTATACTGTTGTTTGATGTATTACCGTCAACACTTCCTCTTACCCCACTGAGATATTGCATTTTACTGGCTAGCCCCGGTCAGCTGAGACTGAAGTGAAAAGGAGGAAGACGATCTGCTCACATTTCTCTATCAATCTGTTTATTTATATATATATATATATATATATATATATATATATATATATATATATATATATATATATATAGGTTGTTTATTATCTATCTATCTCGCTCTATTCATCACTCTATCTCATTTTTTTCTCACTTTTTCTCTCTAGGCATCTATCTAAATTAGTTCACTATGTATTTATCTATCTATCTCGCTCAGTTCATCCGTCTCTTAATTTTTTCTCTCCTTTTCTCTCTCTAAGCATCTATCTAAATTGTTTCACATTCTACCTATCACTCTCTTAATGTCTCTCTCTCTCTCTCTCTCTCTCTCCATCTATCTAATTTGGGTTAATATTTATCTATATATTTATCAATCTCATTCTGTTCATTATCTATCTATCTGATATATGTGTGTGTGTGCGCGCGCGCGTGTGTGTGATGAGAGAGAGTAGAGTAAAAAGAGCATTTATACACACACACACACACACACACACACACACATATATATATATATATATATATATATATATATTGTAAAAGTGAAAATCAAAATATGAACATCAAAATGTTTCTTTTCTATATCTTTATATATATATATATATATATATATATATATATATATCTAACAATGTTTCCTTGAAAATGTGTCTAACTACCTTATCCGCTACTGCTGTTTCACCTTTAGGATCTTCATGCTGATTTGGTTGATAGTGTGTGTTTTAGAATTAATCTACAGCTTATGCATTGTCCTGTAACTGATTTAAGCGAAGGATGATTTTATTGTTGCCATTTTATATTTTTGTTTTCGCGCATGCGCGTTGTTTGTTTTTGATTTTGTCGACTGTACAGTACATTAGGGTCTGTTGGGCACCGTGTGTGGGAAAAAGAATACTATGACGCAATTCACACAGCCAGAAATTTAAAAACGGCATACTGTACTGCTTGGCATTCGCTCCGGAAGCTCTAACATGAACATTTCAGAGTGTTTTGGCAGTGCAGAGGATTCAGAAAGAGTTGGATAATATATCCAGTCAACATCATGGCGTTTGGAGTGATCACTAATGATGGCGACATTTGCGTTCAAATTCACTAATGTATTCTTTAGGTCTGTTATATTGCTTTTCGGGACAGGGCAAAATTTGAGGCCTAGGTTAATTTCATCCTTTGTAAGTGCATATGTAGATAGTTTTATTATTTTTGGTTTTGTGTCATCTAAACTGGACTTCTTGTACAGACTAGGATTTCTAAAACATGATGATTGTTTATGATATAATGGAATATGCGTACACCTGTGTTCCCCCTCACTGGAATATCATTGGCTGGTGTCCATCATAAATACCGACGGACGTGTAGGTGAGTCAAGAGCCTTAGTCTGAGAGCTAAGTCTATAACGACGCCCATTGGACTACGCCATTGATCTACACTTCTTACCTGCGTCTACGACGCGTACCAGTTGATTACTGCTACCCTATTCTACTTGGTTATAGTAGACAAAACCACTTAGCTACTTTGTTCAAATATATTCCTTTCCGGGACATATCAATATATATATATATATATATATATATATATATATATGATATAATGGAATATGCATACACCTGTGTTCCCCCTCACTGGAATATGATTGGCTGGTGTCCGTCATAAATACCGACGGACGTGTAGGTACGACAGAGTCAAGAGCAAAGTCTATAACGACGCCCATTGGACTACGCCATTGATCTACATTTCTTACCTGCGACTACGACGCGTACCAGTCGATTACTGCTACCATATTCTACTTGGTTATAGTAGCCAAAACCACTTAGCTACTTCGTTCAAATATATCCCTTTCCGGGACATATCAGTTTATTTCCGCATCTTCCAGGATTCCTAAGAGATAACCTCTCTCTACATGTTTTAGGTTTGCTAGTCAGTGAGAATTTCTCATGGTAAAATTGAGGTTGTTATTTCTAAATGCTTCTGTATAAGTGTGATTCTTATAAAGTTGCTAAAGTTGTTTTTCTGTATAGGGCTCAAAAGAGATTTGTGGGGAATTTTGATTGTTGAGATGGGTAGTGGTTGCTAGGTTTGTTTTGTTATGTTAGGTGCTTTCTGTAAATATTGGTTTTATTAATATATGTGTGTTTTGTTCTATGTCTGGATTGCGTTACGATAATAGTATGTTGCAAATGTTTTTTGTGTGTTGTCAAGTGTATTTTGGTAACTGTATTTGTTCTGTGGGTGTGTTTGTGTGGATAAGTATGTATTTAGATTCTTACCTCTGTTATATGTTTTTCTCTGTATTTGGTGGTCCCGTGTGTAGTTGTTCTGTGTTGACTTTTGTG